TATATCCTTTACATATTAGTAAATATATATCGGAAATTCTATTTGACATAATTGAAAGTTTAAGCTTACTTTTATAAAATTGCTCTAACAGTCTGCAAAAAATAATAATCCGGATCCAATTCGAAGATTAAGGAACATCGCAATCTGCAACATTAACTGAATTCACACGCAAATTCGCAGCGGTAAAGGTCTTACGCGCATGGGTCAAAGCGACGCATGCGCAGAAAGTTTGTAGCTTTGAGGTCCGGATTATAGATCATTCCGGATAATGGGTGTCCGAATTAACGACTTTTGACTGTACTAATGTTGATGATTTTAGTATTGTACAAATTTTGTTTTCAAGTCAGTTTTCCTCCCAGTTCTCTAGTGATAAAGAATCAAATGAAAGAATTTGTAGCCTACGTGAACAATATTGGGTACTCAAATGGAGGGGGGAAAATGAAATTCATTCTCCTGGAAAGAACTAAACAATCGAAATAACTTAAAAATAAAACCAGCATCATTTTTCTAAGTAACAGTGCGAAGAAATTTAATGGTGAAAGAAGTAGTACAAGTTACTTTCATAAGTAATCAGAATCTGATAAATAAGTCTATTAAACAGAATGAAAAATTCAGTAACCATTCAAAATTATACATTTATAATTAAATATTCTGTTTACAACTAAGTAAAAATTAATTAATTAAAAAAATTAACTGCCAACTAAAAAAATTAGTATAAAAGTGCTAGCAATCTTAAATGTGAGGAATCATTTGAGAATGGATATACAAATTAATTTTAAAATAAAAACCTAAATGAGAATTAATTTAAAAAGAAATGGATGTTTAAAAAGTGGAATGTGGGCAATAAAGTTTTAAAATTTTGGCAAAACTAAGATGTGTTATTAAAATGACTAAGAATCAAATTACAATCCGTAACTTACAGAACCAATAGGAATTTGTGATGACATCATGGGTCATGTGAACATGTAACAAAATCATGTGGTCTCTGACATCATTTGACATTTTGCAACTTTTTGACTGTTCTTCTGCTACATTCGTTAAAAATTTTTTGGCAATACTTCTAGATTAAATTTAGGCACTACCTTATACCCATTAGTTAAATATTTAGTTTCTAGATTTTCAACTTTGTTAGTTAATAGCACTTACACCACAAAACATTCAATAGAGTTTATAAAAAAAGTAAAAAGCATTTCCCCTTGAAATTTCATCATGGTTTCTTTTGATGTAAAATCATTATTCGTCAATGTTCCAGTAGAAAGTGCCCTTAAATGCCTAGAAACAAGAGTTCAAGAATTTCATTTCTGCTGTATCAAAATTGACGGGTTAATTAATTGCTCTGTCTGAAACAAACACATTTTGTTTTCCAAAGAAGTAGTACAAGAAGATTGAGGGATTAGCCATGGAAAGCCTTCTTAGATATCCTTGCTGATATCTATGTGTCATTATGAATCAAAATTATCTGAAATTTCAACTTCCCTGTGTGGTTCCACTAAGTTGACGGTACCTTTATATCCTGTTTGACAATAATAAAGGTAATTTAAATAAAGTTCTTTCAAGAATGAATTCCATTCATCCTGCCCATTTAGTTCACTTTCGAACTTAAGACATCCAGTTCTCTTCCATTTCTCGACATCTGGGTCACAAATAACATATCCAACTTCAGTACTAGTGTTTACAGTTAACCTTCGTCTATTTGCCTTTCACACACTTCAAATCATGTCATTCAACTAAACAGAAATTAGCTTCGTTTTATTCTTTTGTTTTCATGCACTTTGAGTTTGCTCCTCCAAATTGTCTCTTGATCAAGGATTAAATTACTTAAAAGCAGTTGCTATTGAAAGAGGCAGTTGCTATTGCTGAGCATTTCAACACATCAATAAACACCTTCTTCTTTTAGGAGATTATAAGAATTCTGTTTGTCATTTTTCCTTTCCATTGATTAGCTATAAAATTTGCATGTGTATTACAGAAATTCAACTTTCAGGTCATTTTCAATAAAATTCATAGTTCCATACTTAAGGGCCCCATTTCAGATATGTACTTTTGGGTTATATGCAGGATTTCTTGCCAATGTGGTTTAATTTACATCGGCCAGACTAAGAGAGCCTTAAAATTTCACGCTAAAGAACATGAGACATATGTTAAGAAAAAAGAAAGACATAAATCTCCTATTGCTGAATATTGTTGGTCAGAAAAATCACATTTTCCATTTTTCTGCACCAAAAATTATTCAGAAACATTTGTTGGTGAATTAGATTTTGAGGCGTTTCAGATTCAAAAAAAAAAAAAAAAAATCTTTCAGTTAACACTCCCAATTCCAATCTGTCTTTACCTTCAGCTTTTAAGGAAATTATTGTATAGGTTTTTTTTTCTCCCATTTTTCACCATTAGAGGGCACCAGTAAGACTTCTTTCCACTTATTCTTTTCCCCTTTTCTTATCTTATCACTGCCTTTTCCTTTGTCATTATCACTTCTGCAGCTGAAGAAGAAAGTTGCATAGTTAACCCTCTCACTGCGCATCCCCCGATTTCCATGGGCAACGTAGAAGTAGCAAAATTTGCGCAACCCACGATTTCCGCAGGGATGAATTTTTGCTGTCTATTTAACTGTGCAAACCGCTCTTTCCATGTTCAAGGTTTCCTTTCGGCTTTTCTGTGATGTTTAATTGTGCTTTTAGATGTGGGCTAACAGATGGTATTAGTTGCCCACATTTCTGCCTAATATACAAGAATACATAATGTAGTATTTTGCGCTCTTTTCAGAGCTAAAAAATGTATGGCAGGAAGCATTTTGCGAGTGATGTAACCTATATTCCTGACGATATTTCCGACACTGATAGTAGTTCCGACTCTGATTTCAAGTATATTGAAGATAGTTATAGCGAAACTGATGAGAATTTCTTGGATTCCTCTGTAAATAGTGATGAATCTGAAAATTAAATTTCTATTGAAAACATTCGACAGTGGTGCAGAATTAATATGCAAAATATGACATTATGCAAATATTTTCGTTAATATGTATATGTTTTATCTTTGTATTTTACAAAATAAATCATAATTTAACCAATATTAATTTTCAAAATTTTCCTTTTATATCATTATTCTTCAATTTCAGTATTCTGACAACCTTTTTCTATGATCTAATTCCAAATTGAAAAAAAAAACTCTTTTACAAAGATTTTTCATATATTTTAACTCTAAAATATATGTTAATGTATTTTAATATATTTTAACTCTAAAATATATGTATATTTGAAATATGTAATAAAAAAATATGCAATTTTTAAACCTATTTTGATAAAAAAAAAAAAACAAAGTACGCAGTGAGAAGGTTAAACATTCAAAACCAGTCCTGCAAATTTATGAATATTCGCCGATTCTTGTTGCTTTTTTAACTTCTTCAATAACTGTTATTCGGTGTGTTATTTTAACTAAAATATGATGTCTTTTTATCTTGATATCTGAAAAATAAAATAATATATTTAGTTTTAGTTGAAATAAAAATGGACTTTTAAGGCAAATACAAATACCCAGGCAGCACGTCTCCAAAAATATACGTATAATTTTGGCGAAATAAGCGTATGGTATTTTTTGCACGTTACTTTTACGAAATTTATACGAATGAAAAAGGCTGAAGTTACTGTTGACTCTATATCGTTATTTTCCACACATTATTTTTACGAAAATTATACGAATCCGAATGTACTGAAAAAAACTACCGCCATAATGGTATATTTTATTCGTTACTTTTTAAGCATATTATACGAATCCGAATGTTCTGAAAGAAACGACTGCCTTTATGGTATATTTCATTCGTCACTTTTACAGATATTATACGAAGTCTAAAAAGATTGAAAATGAAGTTTTTTTAATTCAAAATTATTTAGCGCATTTTTGGCATTTCACTTTGTTTTCCTTGTCCACGAACATGAAAAAAGGGGCATTCATATATGAGGCTAAAATTTTTCTATAAATTTTAACATGTGAGCTAAATCTTTACGTGCATTTTTGCAAAAAATTATATTTTCTTAATTTAAAGATCTTCAAAAAATAACTTATTTATTTTCTTATATCAAATTTGTTATTTTTATTCATATCAACACTTGCATTAATTTACACAATTTAATTTCTTTTATGAAAATCCTATTACCCATCTAACTGGAATAAGCTGTATATTAAATTTGTGTACTTTGTGAGTTTGGTACAATACTCGCCTTATTTTATTTAGCAAATGTGGGCATTTAAATTGGAATAAGACTAGAAAATCTTTCATGTCGAGGAATAGAATAATAAATAGAGCAGAAGATGCTTGAAAATGTTTAACTTCTTGAACAATAGTTTAATGTAGACCAAAAGGATCATTAATTATAATCAAAGATATACTAATATTTTTATTTAATAATAATAACTCTACGAAATTGCAAGCTGAATCCTGATATTTTGCATATATTTCAGTCCCTTTAATCTTTGTTATAAAAATCGCATGAGGCTAACATTTTTTAATTTTGTTTAATGTACGGGAAAAATGATATAGCGATTTTAATAATTTTTATATGAGGGAAAAATAAATAAATAATGTAAATAAATAATTATATTTTTCCTGAAACAGTTAAAGACATTCTTAATATGGAGATCTACAGAATAAGTACAAGGGTCCAGTTAAATGAACTCAAAAAATTTGCATAGTTAATTTTACGCTAACTTATAAAAATTGACCGGATTTACGATTATACACTGAGCATGCGCATACACAGACATTTCTATTGAATTCGTAATAAAAATTGAATTATTACCTTTAATACAGAGATGCTTGTGAATATAAATTTATATAATGCAAAAGTAAGTTTATTTCATATGCTAATTTAGAGGCTTTCTTAATATGTTTAATTATAAAGAAAAAAAAAAAAAAAAAAAAAAGCGTTGCAATTCTTGTTCACTGACCAATGGCAAAGCAGACACTTTCTACTTCCGGTTGTGGGCGGGATATTTGTGAAGTCGAAGTCAGCAATGGCGGTCGAAAAGAATGGTAAAGTGCAAAGAATACTGTTTGTTCGTGGATTGGTGTTTGTGACTGAATCCATCGATGTTACTAATTATTTGAAGAAAGTAAGTGAACATTTTATATTTTCAGTGTTTAATAGTCATACTTTCTTCACCTATGTAAAATTTTATAAATAGCGTCTTGTAGGAAATGTGATTTTCCATGTGTTGTTCTTTTGTGCACGTGCCTAATGATTCATTTTCAGCATTTGGTACTGTTAATGACATAGAATACCAAATCAATAAATTGAAAAAAAATTTTGCACTAGGCTGTTTCTTACTGTTTGTGTCACTCCTGTTTGTATGTGTCTCACCTTTTTATAGTTATATTATTTTTACTCAAACGTTTTAATATTTATCTTAAAGCATACTGTAATTAAGCAGGAAATAGCTTTTAATGGAAAAAGAAAGGCAATATTAACGTGATTAATTGTTCAGAAATCTGTTCTGGAAATATCTACCGAAAAAAAAAAGCATGTAAATTTCATTTATTTATGAAATTCAAAATTTTGTATTTGCTTAGTGTTTCCCCTAAAAATAATTTAATTTCTTATTTTTGAATTTAGTTTTATAAATTTGCTTTAATATATAATCTTTAACTCAAAGATATTGTGCTATTAAACCAGGAAATTTTATGCGATAGAAACACGGGTACTTTGTTCCAAATCTTTGTTCATCTTATTTTATATATATTGAATTTTCATGCACTTGTAATAATTACTGAAATAATTTTCTTTTTTAAGTCCTTTCATGAATGCATTTCTTTTTTGTTTGTTTGATTTTGTCGTTTTAAAAGATCTGCCATAGTTAAAGAAAGAAAATAAAGTAAGAATGCTTTACTTTCAGTTTTGAATAAATTTATTATTATTTACTGCAGCCTCAGGTTTCTCTAAAAATAATTTTCGAAGTCAAAACTTGATAGTTATGTCGATTATTAGACTTGCATGAAAAAATTTATTGAAAAGTTAGTATTTGAATACCGTAAATTATTTGAATTCTATTTTACTAAATCATGTATTTTGATATAACTAGTTAGTTAAAAAAATGAAAATTATAAATGTGCAGAAATGCTTATATAAAACCAAGAAATTGTTTATATTATTGTTGCTTTTTCCCTTGTAAATTAAATATATATATATATTACAGTCTGGGGAGTCAGCACCCTGCTGAATTGTAGTAAACGAGACATCCAATCTACTAGACCATACAAAGACGTTGGATTTTCTATTTCATAGTTATTGAAATCATAATGGTATGTTTGTTTAAATTAGTACTGTTTATGAATGTGATAAAAATAAATTCTGATAAGCTAAGAATGATTTATTTTCTATTAATTATGAACTGTAAATAATGTAACCAATTTTCTTCATAGTATTTACTAAACATTTTTTTTTTTTTTTTTTTTTTTTTTTTTTAAGGGAGGTAGTTTTATTTATACTATTCTTGCAGAGATACCATAAAGAAATAAAACATTTCAGGAATTTTCACTCAGTATATCTTGATGTGTAAAATCCTGTTGTTCAATGCCATATTACTTTTTCACAGGAAAGTAATTTTATTGATCTAACTTCTGCATAAATCAAACTTTTTTAAGAATGATTACAGTTTCTAAGCTAACTTAAAATTTTCTGATTTAGAAAATTTATGTTTAATGAAGCATTAGTTTTCCATGGAATAGAAAAGGTTTTAAAAATGTTCAGTTGTTAGAGGGAAATAATATAAATGAGATTGTCCTGATATAGTTTCAGCTGGAAATGAAACTGAATTTTCGGATAGTGAAGATTTCATTTAAGAATTCTAATAAAACTGATTAATGTAAATCCTATGATTCATGTAGGTATTCTTCTGTTATCAGGACCAGATTCAGAAATGTGTGTTTATATTCATGCATTTTAAAATGTAGGTGCTCATGTGTGCATGTGTATATTCTTTATGTATGTATGTGTTTACTTATACACATATATGCGTATACATGCATATACACATGCTTACATATCTACAGTGGAACCTCGAGATACGAGTTTAATTTGTTCCAGCATTCAACTGGTATAGCGAATTTCTCATATCTAGAAACAAGCTTCCCCATTGAAAATAATGGAAATTCAGTTAACCCGTTCCACACCCCAAAAAATATCAACATTTTAATATCAAGTCAATTTTTCCTAATAAATAACACTGGTAAATAATATAACCATAGTTTAACTTTTTTACCAACATTTTAACTCCTTCTCATTAATCCACGCCAAATACAGCTTCTCAACATCTAGGAGTACTTTTATGGTGCTTGGAAGCAACGATAATTCCTTTGGCTACATCAGGTTTCTTAATTTCTTCCTGCTTCTTCAGAATAGTATAGATTTTCAATGTTGAAAAGCCGCAAGTCTTCGCCAATTCCATCACCATGCTTATGTTTATCTATGATTTCTTTCTTGATATTGACAGCCATGGCCTCCTTATTTTTCTTTGCAGCACTATCTGAGGCAACAATCTTCTTGCGAGGCATCTTGAAATAATTATTTTCACGTTAAATGTCAAAACAATTATTTACAAGTGCACAAACACGTATATAAAAGAACACTGAGTGATCTGACGAGGGGATTCCCCGAGTTGAGCCAGATAGGGAAATGGCGCCACCCATACCAACACCCTGGCTCATTGCTCGTTACTGAGTCAATGCTCGTATTTTGCTCATACTTTCCTCGTATCTCGAGGTTTCATTGTACATTTCTGAATCCCATCCTAATAACAGAGGAGTACCTTTGCCAGTATTGCAACTGAGCTAGAATGAATTATTGTGTTAAATATGTGGAAAATGCATGCTTAAAGTACTGTTATTTTCTGAAAATATTCTGTATGTCTATTTTTTACAAGAAGAAAAAATAGCTAAAATTGTTAATTTATTTATTAGTCCAAAGGGGCTTAGTCCCTAAAGGACTATTGTTTTTGTTTTGCGTTGGTTCACTATAAATATCTGTTTCACTTTTCAAACTGTTCCTACCAAATGTTAGAGTCCCTAGTGTGGGATTAATACTCTCTATCTTAGTGCCCTCTATAACCTATGTTAGGGTTAACCTGTATAACCTACAAGGATTGCCTATTTAGGCGAGATATCTAGGTAGTCATCATAATACTACCTTATTTTTTATTTTTTTAAAATTAAATTGAAAGTAATAAAGTAGTTTTCAAGAATAGAGTTAAACTAGATTTGCATTCAACTCTGGTTTATTGTGTTAGTGATGTGTTGCTGTAACAAATATGAATTTTTTGTTTAAGTATAATAATTTAAAATGTTTTTTCTAGAGAATGAAGTACTGCCACTAAGTCGTACTGGATATGTTGCAAGGTAATTTTCTATTCTACATTAATCTTTATGTCCTGTTACAGATATATTGGCAGAAATAATGAAAACCTGACATTCAAAAAGAAAAATAATAACGTTGAATGTAGTATATTAGATGGTTAACTGTGGTTTGGCAGCTCATTAATAATCTTACACATATTGAATACGAATAATTTTGACAATTACCGGTATTTTCAATAGTATAAAATTAGGCAAGAAAGCAGTTTTAGTTTAGCACCGATTTTAAATACAACTCTCTTAATTTCGAAGATGATCCTGCACACACAGGTCCTGTGTAATAGAAGACTCGCCAACGGTAAAGTTGCTGAACAATGGTAGTTCGGTTCAACGTTCGAATCCCGCAAACGGTCTGGCTGCATGGTCGTTTCCGTGGTTTTCCCCATGTGTAACATGTATACGAGCCAGTTTCCCTTAGAAAGTCCTTCACGAAGGCATTCCTCGCCTTAGGCAGATAGCCCTATTGTGCTTTACAGTAATCGAATAAACCTTAACCAAACCTGTTACAGATGTATTTTTATGTTACTAAAATAGTAAAACTTAAAACTAAACTGGATGGCACAAACAGCCCTTAGAGAGCCATGGCTGGCAATGCCTTGATATCTTACTTTCTAGATGGTGAGCTCTGTGGTGTTTGTGCATAAGTGGTCAGCTTGTTGCAGACCCCCCCCCCCCGGTATTCAGTCTCCAATGGAACTTGGTACTAATTGTATCGACCCACTCAAGGGATGAAAGGCTGTTTCAACCTTGCCCAGCCTGGGAATCAAACGTCGAACCTCTGGTGCTGCTGCGTGACACACTAGCCACTGTGCTACCGAGCCTCCCTAAAATAGTAAATTTATGAAAATTATTAAAAAAATTCAAAATATCAGGGTACTTTTCCGTTTCGCCGGCGCAAATCTTGCCAAGCAGACTTTATTGGCGACAACACACAGTATACACATAAAAAATGTTAACAAATGTTAGTTCTAAGAAATTTTTATTTTAAAGGCATAAACATTTTAATATCATTTAAAATTTTGTAAAATGATAATAAATAAAGACAATAAATTTGTAGAAAGACATTAATTTGTATTTGTAAAAAGAGATTAGTTTAAGAATTTACTATGCTTTCATGGTGCAACATTCTGGTTCGCTGTTTCATATCACGTGACCCCAAGTGATCTCATCTCATGTTAAACTACGCTAATTCTCTCAGTAATTATCTACATTAATTTCAAGTTAAATCTTAATTTAGAATACAAGTTTAAATGCAAGAATTATTTCATTTCGTATGAATAGCTTACTCAGAAATTATGTAAAACCGCAGTGCTTTACTTCGCTAGTGCATTCTCATTAGAATTGATGAATTTAACCCTTGATTTTGCCTTTTCTATATTTTCGGGTGAGCATGTGATTGCATCCTAATTGATTTAATTACCGCGAATGGCCTTAGGACATAAAATTGAACTATCTGGTAAAAATTCTATGTAATTGCATCCCAGTATTGAAAGAAACATTCAGTCTGATAGAAATAGCTGCAACGTGTTTTGAAAATGAAACGTAAAAGGTTACCGGGGAGGATATTCTGTTTGGCACCGGTTGTACCATTTTGGGCGACTTTATCGCTTGCACCGGCAAAATGGAAAAGTACCAATATTGGCTTGACAAAGGTAAGATATAATTGAATTTAATAAGTTGGAAATACTGTCTGTCTTTCCATGAGTTAAAAAATAATTTCAAATAAAATTTCTTTTTTCATGTTATTTGTTTAATGTTATTGTAATCTGATTTATCATATTTAGTCACATATTCCATCCCTCTTTGCACAATAGTATATAATTCAAAGGACAATTATTTTTTAAATTGAGATGCTTTTTTGCACCCAAATGTTTAAAGCCTTCCAGATTTGTTACTTGATCTAACTTCTATTCCTAATAAATAATCTAGCTGCATACAGTTTACTCAATTTCTGCCATGTGTAAGGTAAACAGTATTAGTTTTTCTTAAATATATCTTTTACAACTATTCCATCAGGTAGATTTTTTTCATATTTTGCCTTAATCGAGTTATCCTGCTAATTAAGAATTTATTAAAGTTAATATGGTAAGTTTTTGTGTGTATAATTCATTTTAAGTATGTGCAAGCAAATGCATACATTAACAATTACGTAGAATTATGTTTTGGGTATCAAATTCAGAAATTTTTGGGCTGTTTTTAGAAGATTTATTAATGATTTATACTATATTAATATTGGTAAAAAAATTCTGTGGCTTTCATATGAGAGTATATACGTATTTTAAAATAGCTGCATGATATGGTAGAGGTAAAAAGCTTCATGAGGATCATAAATTAATATTATGTGGGAATTTTTCATTTATTTAATAAAGAAAATATTCAAGCCACAATTAATTTTTTTTCACTGGCTTATTTGCATACAAAGTTTGCAGCAAATATTTCCTGCAACAAAAGTGATAATTTTTATTTTGCCAAGACAGGAAATTTAGTTAGTGAAAGCAGTAACCCTATTTTTAGATGTTAAACAGGAAGGCAAATTTTTGAATTTAAATTGATTTTTAAAGGAAGACTTAATTTAGTCTTGCTATCATTCTATGTGGCTTTTAAGTTTTTTTATGGTATTTATAATTTTATTGTTATTCAGCTTTCTGTTTGCTTAGAATGCACATGAATGCAGACTTGAAATATTTTATATTGCAAACTGAGATGCCATTGTTATCATAATTAAAGATTTGTGTTCTGATTTTGGAGGAATTTACTCATAATACTTTTAATTCTGTATTGGTTTCTGGTTTATTGAAATGTGTAAAATAGCCTCTTAATGTATATACATATGTTAATGACATGTATATGCTTATGAAGTATTCTGTTATATGTATATAGTGTTGTGATTAGTTTTCTGCTTACTCTTTATTTAAGAAAAAGTTATCTGTAAGAAAGCGAATATTCTTTACTATATGTAGGAGTAAAATTGGAAAGGCTAATATAATTAATACAAAATTAAGTTTTTTCTCGTGTACAAAATTCTTCTTCTTAAATACTTTCGTTCTTCTTAAATACAAAAATAGCCATTAAAGACTTAACCTTGCAGTCTAAACAAATCTTTAGGTATTTTTTACTTGAAATTATAGGCATTGTGTAACGTATATAATTGAAGGAAGTTTACTGTGTGATAGTATGAAACTTAAATTTTTAATTACTGAAATGTAAATTTTTAAATATATGAAATACTCAGTGCATTTTATATGCATCTTTTAATACTTCAAGTATATTTAAAAACTGAAAACGTCTGAAGTGTGAAATTATTACAAATTTTTCTTTTTCTTGTTTAGGAGCTGTTCTCAAAACATTGGGTGACAAAGAATTCACTTTTACAAAAATCGAGCAGGATATTAAAGACAGCGAACTATAGAACAAATATGGCGAAGCTGAATGAAATCTATGTTTAATTTTATTATTGAAAAAAATTATGATCTTCAGAGTTAATGTTAGTTTTTATTGTTGTTTTCAAATACCTGTAAAATAAACCTAATTCTTAAATTAATTTCATGTGTATTTCTTTTGCAAGTATTACAGTTCATAATACTTCAAACAAGTTGAAATTTGATACTTGTTAATTTATGTGGGATATGTTCATAATAATTTTATAATTTAAATAACTCATTGTCATCATATGAGCATAATCTAAAATGCACAACAAATTTGACAACAAATTAATAAAAAATTAGCCAACTTCTAATTGCTTTCTTTTGTCCAGTTGCCTCCTTTTAAATCATTTAATACCATAAAGCTATTTGATGAAAAAAAAATAATTGGTATGTACATTTATAATGATGTTATGGAAAAAGTCACATGAGATAAATATTTAAAAACTTCAATATTCCTAAACAAATTAACTTTTTAAAATTTTATCTGGTATATAAGATAAAGAACATATTTAGGTAATTTTGAATTTGCATATGAACTTGTTTATGAAATTAACAGTTACATTGTAAAAGGGAACTTTTTAAAAATGCCTCGATAAAGCATTTCTTTTGTAGAGGTGAACTTTTAGTACTGATCTTATATATTTATAAGATTTTAAATTGAGAAAGATAACAATAATAGATTACAATACATTGCAAGATTGACTGATAAATGTAAAATTTTTACATATCATAATTATGTGTGTAATTAAAATAGAATTTACTCGATTAACTTACATGCAAATTATTTTCTTTAACATGTTTGGGATAAACTAAATTTTAATAAATAAGTATGTATATATTTGTGTATTATCTGAAGATATGAATGCAATATTTGTGACATTAAACATTCAACTTCGTAACTATTGGAAAAGGTAAGTTTTCTACAATTTCCTGGTCTATATTTAACAATTTTAAAATTTAGCACACTCATTCAAATAATCTAAACGTATGATGTTTTCTTTTGGCTACAGTTGTTTACTGAATTTGGTAATTAATTACCAAATTCTACTGAATTTGGTACTGATCTAATATATTTCTAACTACTAAATTCTACTGAATTTGGTACTTTAGATAGAAATTAACGTAGATATTCCCCGTATTTTACGGTACAAAAACTTATATATTTGATAATAATTGACCTAAAAATTTCCTATGTTTTCTTTGTATATACGGCCCACCAGCGGCCTAGCGGTAAAGTCGCTGAACACTGGTAGTTCGGTCCGAGGTTCGAATCCCACGAACGGGCTGGCTGCATGGTCGTTTTCGTGGTTTTCCCCATGTGTAACGTGTATACGAGCCAGTTTCCCTTAGAAAGTCCTCCACAAAGGCATACCTTCTCTTAGGCAGATAGCCCTCGAGGCTTTGCCATAATCACACACACACATTTTGTATATACGAATGACTTTGGTAAAAATTTAGTCCGATGTCTTATCCTCTTTACTGTGTGTAAGTGCACATTTTTGGCAAAAAATTTGCATAAATCTCCAATTGCCTATTTACTGCATTTTTCATAAAATGTGCTTATTTTAATCTCGTGTTTTTTATATAAATCTATGCAAAAATGTTCTGCATATTATGATTAAAAGATAAAATGTTAATTTGATATCAAATTTTTACATATCCACCTTTTAGGTATGTACAGCAATATAGAATATATATAACTGGAAAATTTAAATGCAAAAAAAAATTAATTTCTATTCAAAAATTACATAACACTTAAAGACTGAAAATCACTTTTAATATTTCATTTCAAAGTGACTACAAAATATGCAATAAATTTTGTAAACCTGAGTTTTATGTTTTAAATCAATTAATGCTATCGCTCATTTACATGGCATAAGAAAATGTCCTTCGGAAAAGCAAATAATTTTTTTAAAGTATTATTTATTAATAATGAATTTAGTAAACAACTGTTTGCTACAGTTATTTACTAAATTTATGAAATGAATTTAGTAAACAAAAATGCAAATGAACGATAGCATTAATTAATTTAAAACATAGAATTGATGTTTACGAAATTTATTGCATATTTTGTAGTCACTTTGAAATGAAATATTAAAAGTGATTTTCAGCCTTTAAATGTTATGTAATTTTTGAATAGAAATTTCTTTTTTTTTTTTTTTTTCCCATTTACTAGTGCATTTAAATTTCCCAGTTATATATATTCCATATTGCTGTACATAACTAAAAGGCAGATATGTAAGAATTTGATATAAAAATGATTTTACCTTTTAATCATAGCATGCAGAAAGTTTTTGCATAGATTTATATAAAAAAAATATGAGATTAAAATAAGTACATTTTACGAAAAATGCAGTGAAAAGGTAACTGGAGATTTATACACAGTAAAGTGGAGAAGACATCGGATTAAATTTTTACCAGTCATTCGCATATACAAAGAAAACGTAGGAAAGATTTAGGTAAATTACTATCAAATATATACGTTTTTGTACCGTAAAATACGGGAAATATCTACTTTAACTCTTTCGCATCAAAGTTGCCCGTAGCACCCGTTCATTCAGGCAACGGCAAACCGCCCCCAACGCCTCGTTTATTTTGTACCTAGTTCTTTCCCCTCCACGTTAGTGTATGGCTCATTGGTTTTGCGAGTTGTTAAAAGACATGTCAATCATTCTTTTGAAGCAAATAAAGGAGAAATACGGAAAGCTATTGACGTTCGCAGGTGCAATCCGGCCCTAAGGTGAAACTGCACACAATGGATGAAACTCCAGAAGGGGGAAAGGAAAACCATTCCCAGACACATTCGTAAACACGGGCGTTTTCGATGTTTGTTGAAAACAGATTTGGTCGTCTCTCGATGCGAAAGAGTTAATTTTTACCTAATATATACGTTTATATACAGTAACACATCGGGGAAATTTACGTAAATTTTTACCAAATATATACGCATACGTGAAGCAAAAAATTGAGATTTACGTATATGCGATAAATATACGTAAATCCCTGAAATTTACATATATTATACGTAAAAGTTGCGAATGAACAGCAGTCTCTCGCGCAAATATACCTACATTTTACGTAATAGTTACGTATAGTATAACGTAAAAATATACATAAATATTTAGTAATGGCCACTGTACACTTTTTATGATATTTTTATGTTCAACTTGAACGATTTTTATACGAAAGGCCATTCGTAAATTGCACGTATTTTTCTCATGCAATTTACGAATGCATGCTGCCTGGGTATAACTTTGACATTCAAGTATTAAAATTTTTTTTTTTCTACACTTTGTTTAACAAACATAAAAATGTTTTATTTTTATATCTATGAATGAATATAAAAATGCCAAAAATATAGCAGGCACTCACTTATATTACAGTAAATATGTACCTGGATGGTAGTCTTTATTACTGAAGGAAACTGGAATTCTGTTATATTTAGTTTTATTATTTCCCATTTGCACAGTACAAATATGAAAAGATTCCTTAGCATCTACTTTCATATTTATGCTTTGCTCCATGAAATTTCAAATATAGAGGAGTGCTTTAAATTAATTTATTGAAAATATTTAGTTTTAAAATACAAAGAAATGTAAAAGATCTAACATTTGATAATGTAACTAAAAAAGAAAGAAAAGAAAAAACTTTTAAATTATCCATGTTTATTAGGTTCCAAAATTTAAAAAAAAAAAAAATTTAAAACATATCAGTTTAAAAACTAAGTTTTAGCAAGTTTTAAAATATTAAGTAATAAATTACTATGAACTTCTCAATAATTACAGCTGTTTAATAGTATAGTGTAGATTTATGATGGCTCCAGTTTGTGGAAACTTTTTTTTTTTTTTTTTTTGTGAATATTAAAGGAACTAATTTTACTTAATTTATTTACTTGAATTTTATTAATTTAATCTCATTAGGAACATATTTCTGGTGAGATTAATACATATTGCATGGGATTATTACAATTCTACACTAAACTTTTATATTAAATTTACTTTACATATTTTAGTCTCCTTGTACCATGATTTTAAATTACTGCTTTCATTTATATTTTATTCTGAATATTAGAAACCCCTAAAAAGTACCATGAATATTTATAAAAGAATATTCCAAGTGATACTTAGTTTTGTGAAAATTAATTATATAAACAGAGAAATAAAAAATAAATAAATAGAAAAGAATTATGACATTTTCCATGTAAGCTAAGAAAGGAAAGTGTATATTTGAACTGAATTATATACATTTACAGAAAGCAATTTTTTTAATTATAATCTTTTATAGCATTTGCCTGAAGAAACCATTCTTAAAGTTTTTTTTTTTTCATTATCGTAAATATTTAAATTTCAAATTCTTTTATATGAAAGTTATCACAAAAATACCTACTAGATGAAATTTCATTACAAAAATAATTTATGGCTACAGAATTTCCTATACATATATTCTCTTTGAAGTAGCTGTGAACATTATTATATATAAATACAACTATTAATGTGCTGTTATCAACCTAGCATCTTATATGCCAAAACCTAAACTTAATACTAATGCATATACTTAGATATATCACTATTTTAATATATTTAGTTTTAAGTATTTTAAAATATTTAATGAATGCTTCTGACAGATTTGATATTATTTTTCTTCTTTTCACGTTCGTGAGTACGGGTTCATCGGATTTGGAGTGAATAATGAAGACACTTGATGAAGTATCGAAGCAATTGGCCAGTATTATTCAAAACAGGTCCAATAACATGTTTACACAGTTGTCAAAGAATTATTGTAAACATGCTGACACAATCACTGACACAGCCTTTGCACTATCAGACTATAACGGCGGAGACAGCTTCATGGCAAAGCACCAGAGTACAGTTTCCAACTCTGTTCGGTCGTTCTCGGAACACCACGCACTCTCGAGACTCCACGCTACAACTCGCGATGCACTCGACAATACACTAGAGTGCAGCTCCCGACTCTTCATTTCAGTCATTCCCGAAGCTCAATACACTCTCTCGACGATGCACTAATTACGATACACTAACAGACTCTTTTAGTGCACTCGGCACTCGCTGACCGACTGTCAACTCGGACTAACTAACTAGATGATACACTAACTCTCCACGTACCGGCAGGTTTTATATAGCTTTAGGCTTGTGTTCAAGAACATTCTAAGCTAAACCGGTAAGAATTCATTACAAAAGGTTTTCTATCCATCCATGACACATCAGCAATTTTGTCGCCAAATGGGCGATTTTTTGCCAAATG